ATTGTACTAGAAAAAGCTGCATTTAAACCAATTTATTTAGACAAACAAGAAACGAAAGACGAAATAACTTTGTACCATCATAAATTTCACAACGGAATTAATGAAACTTATTCTCATTTCCAAAATACTCACTATACACCAAAACTTAAAGACCTTATAACTGACATCATTAATAAATGCGAAATCTGTTTAAAAGCTAAATACGAACGAAAACCTTACAAACAACCAATCCAAGGCCCATTTTTCAGTAACAAACCATTCCAACTAGTGTTCATAGATATTTTTACTATTGAAAATACTAAATATGTAAGTTTTATAGACCACTTTAGTCGATATACCCAAGCCTATCAGACCATGTCACGAAATCACGTTGACATACTATCTAAAATGAAACAATTCTTTTCACATCATGGATTTCCAAAATCACTTCATGCCGATTATGGAGAATTACGTTCAGAAGTTATTAAAGATTATTGTAAAGCTCATGAAATACATTTGCACTTAGGAAGCACCAGCAATCCTAGTTCTATTGCACCAATTGAACGATTACATAGTACCATTGGAGAAAAATTTCGAATCCTAAGACAGACTCGAAAAACAGACACTACTACTGACCTAATGACTGACGCTATATTAAATTACAATCAATCTGTTCATTCTGCTACAAAACATACACCTTTTGATTTATTATACGGTAGTACTGAAGACCCTTATTCATCACATCTTAAACAAATATTAGAAAAAGACAAAATTAATGAACAAATCGCTCACGATTCTTATAATCAATTAAAAAAACAAACTAACAAAATTAACGAAAAACGCGTATCTAAGATCCCTGTTTTAAAATCTCCGATCTATATCAAAATCCCAATCAGACAAACTAAGGACAAACCAAAAGATCAAAAACACACTATTTTCAAACAACAAGGAAATCAAATTTTAATCAAAGATAGAAAACACATGCTGAGACGAATCAAGCCTCAACGTAAAAATCCTTTACAGAGCTCTACCAGTCCAATGCCTACCAATTCGAGCGCTACTGATGAACCCTCTGCTCAAAGCACCTCCGGTAATCAAACTGCCGCTAGGAAATTCAAGATTAATCGAAAATCGTCATAAAACTCAATTCCTTATTAATTTAAATTATGTAACCAATCCAAAACTACATGAAAATCAACACGCACTGAATCTACAGAATTAAAAAGTTATTTTCTTCTGTAAAGGTTTGCAAGGCACTTTTGAGCACAATACTATCAATATCCAAGAAAGTATAGTTTCTGTTACACAAAATATGGCTTTTCAAATGACATTCTTCGAGCAAATCGCATATCAAATAAATTTAAATTCAAATTAATCATTTGAGCGTCCTATCCATTCTTTCATTAAATCATAGGGAAATAAATATCCTCATTGAACATTTGCAAACTTTATACCATAAAGATCATCTGTTAGATTTTGAAACAATGCACCCTTTTGAGATACTGAATCTTTGCGAACTATCAATTGTAACTTTGCGAAATGAATCATATTCGTAATTCATGTACCTCTTCTTGACCGTAAAAACTTACAGTGTTTTTGAATTGTATCTGTTAATTATAAGGAATGAATTAATAAAGATCCCAAGCAATTTTACTTTGTAATTTGAAGAAGAAAGATTTTGCTCCAATTTAATCAAACTAAGTAACAATCCGCATTTATGTTTTTAATTACTAAACAGGCTCATGTAAGCCATCTATGTTGGAAAATTGTCCTCATATTCACTTAAAATACTATTAATACTAATATTTCTATTGATATTAAAGACTGCAAGCAGATTGAATTATCATTGCCTTTACTTGAAAGTAATTTTAGCTTTTTAAATCCTTCTTATTACCAAAATCATTTGGAAATAATAATTCATACTAAGTTGCAAAACCTTTCTTACGACTCTTACAGCTTTGGAACCATATTGTAACTGTAAATTAAATTTCTCTAAGTTGGAGACCAACTTTTCGTAGGAGGGAGGAGTTATGGAATCCTGTTGGTAACATAACTATGTGGTACAAGCCCATTATTCCAACAAATTGAATTGTATGGCAAGCAAGCCCACTCTTCGTTCCTGCAATAAAGTCTGTTATTTTTTTACCATACGACGTGTGCATTCTTTATCTTGCATTGTAGCATTGATTTTCGTGAAAAAAAGTGGTGTTGATTTGAAGAAAAATTGAGTATTTTAATTTTCAAATTTCCATGTGCGTTTCGTATAGGTAACTTTCGCTCCCTCTGGTAGGCTTAATATGCCCCGGCCACGAGATGTAATCGATCCCGGATATGAACGATGCATTGTAGCATTGATTTTCATGAAAAAAAAGTGGTGTTGATTTGAAGAAAAATTGAGAATTTTAATTTTCAAATTTACATGTGCGTTTCGTATAGGTAACTTTCGCTCCCTCTGGTAGGCTTAATATGCCCCGGCCACGAGATGTAATCGATCCCGGATATGAAGGATGCATTGTAGCATTGATTTTCTTGAAAAAAAAGTGGTGTTGATTTGAAAAAAAATTGAGAATTTTAATTTTCAAATTTACATATGCGTTTCGTATAGGTAACTTTCGCTCCCTCTGGTAGGCTTAATATGCCCCGGCCACGAGATGTAATCGATGCCGGATATGAAGGATGCATTGTAGCATTGATTTCCGTGAAAAAAAAGTGGTGTTGATTTGAAGAACAATTGAGAATTTTAATTTTCAAATTTCCATGTGAGTTTCGTATAGATAAGTTTTGCTCCCCCTGGTATTCTTAATATGCTCCGGCCACGGAATATAATCGATCCCGGATATGAAGGATGCATTGTAGCATTGATTTTCGTGAAAAAAAAGTGGTGTTGATTTGAAGAAAAATTGAGTATTTTAATTTTCAAATTTCCATGTGCGTTTCGAATAGGTAACTTTCGCTCCCTCTGGTAGGCTTAATATGCCCCGGCCACGAGATGTAATCGATTCCGGATATGAAGGATGCATTGTAGCATTGATTTTCGTGAAAAAAAGTGGTGTTGATTTGAAGAAAAATTGAGTATTTTAATTTTCAAATTTCCATGTGCGTTTCGTATAGGTAACTTTCGCTCCCTCTGGTAGGCTTAATATGCCCCGGCCACGAGATGTAATCGATTCCGGATATGAAGGATGCATTGTAGCATTGATTTTCGTGAAAAAAAGTGGTGTTGATTTGAAGAAAAATTGAGTATTTTAATTTTCAAATTTCCATGTGAGTTTCGTATAGATAAGTTTTGCTCCCCCTGGTATTCTTAATATGCTCCGGCCACGGAATATAATCGATCCCGGATATGAAGGATGCATTGTAGCATTGATTTTCGTGAAAAAAAAGTGGTGTTGATTTGAAGAAAAATTGAGTATTTTAATTTTCAAATTTCCATGTGCGTTTCGAATAGGTAACTTTCGCTCCCTCTGGTAGGCTTAATATGCCCCGGCCACGAGATGTAATCGATTCCGGATATGAAGGATGCATTGTAGCATTGATTTCCGTGAAAAAAAAGTGGTGTTGATTTGAAGAACAATTGAGAATTTTAATTTTCAAATTTCCATGTGAGTTTCGTATAGATAAGTTTCTCTCCCCCTGGTATTCTTAATATGCTCCGGCCACGGAATATAATCGATCCCGGATATGAAGGATGCATTGTAGCATTGATTTTCGTGAAAAAAAAGTGGTGTTGATTTGAAGAAAAATTGAGTATTTTAATTTTCAAATTTCCATGTGCGTTTCGAATAGGTAACTTTCGCTCCCTCTGGTAGGCTTAATATGCCCCGGCCACGAGATGTAATCGATTCCGGATATGAAGGATGCATTGTAGCATTGATTTTCGTGAAAAAAAGTGGTGTTGATTTGAAGAAAAATTGAGTATTTTAATTTTCAAATTTCCATGTGCGTTTCGTATAGGTAACTTTCGCTCCCTCTGGTAGGCTTAATATGCCCCGGTCACGGAAAGTGATAGATAGTGTGATAACACTGACAACACACAATGTATATAATTTTGTGCAGATACTATAACACCGTTTTACATGGGAAGACGGTGCCGCACCGCCTGCTTACGCTGCGCCGGCTTCGCTGCTGTAGCGACGCGCGATGGTGTCCAGCGCGACGCGGCCGCTGGTGAGAAGAGGGACTACCGTTTGTTGCTGGCTGGCCGTTATTGCTAGAATCACCGCGGTGCAACTAATTTCTAGCTTTGAATCTCAATTAAGTGTATTTGAGACAAAAACCCAATGTAATTATCGTCAACACACACAACTTATAGCTTAGACCTCCAGTAATGCCATATCAGAAGTAGATTTTATGTCACATCAGAGCCAAAGATTGATAACAAGCCTCATGACATTAAGGCAACACATACAACTAAACTGAATCCAAATTCAAGATGAGATGTAAATAATAACAGTTAGCGCGTGATCTCTCGGTAACAGGTGGGACAACGCCTCTTATTGGTCAATTCGCCATTAAATTTCAAGCGGCCGCCTGGCGGAATAATGCGCGGGGCATGGGCAGGGCAGGCAGAGTTGCACTCAGGCCACCGTCCGTCGCGTGTATCACTGCGTGCTCGTGTTTTCGTATTCACCTTGCTTGGCTGTTGCTGTTGTTAAGTGTATTTGAGTAATTTCTTAAGTTTCTGTTTCTGTTAAATACTGTCATCTTTGTTTTACAACACGTTGGTGGTAGTCCATCATTCGGAGGTAGCCCTGAATGCGGCCCTGTACGCCATCCTTGCTTTTGGCAATCACGCATCCATTCTATCTTGGGTGTAAATACACTATAAGTGCTAAGTTAACATCTTGTAGAATAACCTACATAATGTCAAAAAACCAGCATAATGTAAAAGAAAAATCGGCATAATGTCACTTTTCAAGATACGTGATACCCGTGCCGAAAGCTTCTAATGTTTTTCGACGGCCAAAAATAATCCTACTACTGAAAATAATCGCTGTTGTTTGAACTATCTGTCAACATACCATATCTTGAAATACATGTAACATCGTACTAAAGCAACCGTTTTCTAGTTGATGGTCGTATATCCAAGCTATAGCTTTATCAATCAACCTTTGGTCTACATAGATGTACTGCTTGGCATCTTGTAGAGTCCTGACAACGAATGAGGTCAGAAACATTGACCCTGTTGGGTCATGGTAGCCAAATGCGGAAAATGAACCATCTTTATGAACGTAGTTCAGAATTCTTTGGTAACCTGCAATTTTGTAAATTTATTAGCCTTATACGTATTAAAAGCTAAGAGACTTCATCTCTAATATGGAGGGTGTCCCAGAAGTCGACGTTCAGCCGGAAACGGGGGATAGGCCAAGTTATAATAGTTATCCGAGAAATATAAAAAAATCTAAGTCGTGTACTTTTCAAACAGGCTTTTAAAAAAAATCGGAAAAATCTACACCCAGTGATGATCTTTTACTACAAATTTCAATTTTTGTGTGACGAACAGTGTCATTCTACGTAGTGACAGCAAGACATAGTAATGGCACTTTTCTTAATTCATGATTGTGTAGTGCCACCATGTCTGTGTACACTATACAGAAACTCGCTAACACGGACCTCATCTATGGTGAATGAAGAAGCAATGCTGGTGCTGCAGTTAGGCTTTATCGTGAGAGGTACCCAAATGGCTGCTCGTCATCCGGGATTCTTAATGTTTGAATCATTGTAACCTTTGAGCTTCCAGAGTTCTTGAATCCCAAAATTTGTTTAGACTTTTTACAAAATCATTTACCAATTTTATTGGAAGACGGGTCACTACACTATGCCCGTTCAGTTAGATGGCCTAACTTAAGTCTACTCGATTTTTTTATTGGGGAACGGTGAAAGAAAAAAGGTTACTCAAAGTCAATCGAGAATTTAGCAGAGCTACGGGACATAATAACGGAAGCAGCTGGATTTGTTAATACCGGAAGATTCGCCCTCTGATTACCCGATCATTTTTAAGATGTCAAGCTTGCATTGCTGCTGAAGAATGGCAGTTTGAATATTTATTGTGAATTTAATAAGTACATTCACGAATTAATAAAAGTGGCGTTACTATCTGTAGTCTTACTGTCACTATCCGTCACTTTGCCTAAGCAAAAAAAAAATGAAATTTGTAGTACTGAGAACTAAAAAATCATCACATGGTGTAGATTTTTCCGATTTTTTTTAAGCCTATAATTTAAAAAGTACACGACTTGGATTTTTTTATACCTTTCTTATACAGGGTGGCCGATATGTCACTGACTGGTTTGTAACTTGAATATTTGTGAAATTAAATAAAATACATTAATTTTCTTCATCTTAATCTTTTAATGAAAGAAATCCGTTCATATCAAAGTGGGCTTCATCGCTCATTAGCAGTTGTCGGTAAAATCGTTATTTCAGGAATTAAGCTGCTATATTGCATGACTGTATTGAAGACCACTTTCATGATCACTAGGCTGTAGTTATTGGGTTAACTAAATTTTGTATGGCCGCAAATGCAAGTCTTTTTTCAAATAGTACAAAATGACGTGCGACGAATACCCAGTTCTTGAGCACGATGTCTGGTAGACGTCTCAGCGCGCTCCACTACTCTTTCACGAACTTGGCAAGTCTTTAACTTCACCTCGGTTTGTTCAAATTTCGGCACCAACTGACGAATGATGTTGATACTGGGCACATTATTTCTACCGAAATCTTGTCGTAGCTTCCGAATCGTTGCAACAATCAACTCATTATTTAAGTAAAACGTTTTAACAATACGGACCCGTTGTGGGATCATGATGAATTGGACACATGTGCTTTAAACCACTACTACGGCACCACCTACTGAAATGCGTGTATCAAAAATGGCGCACAATTTAAATCAGTCAGTTATATATTGGCCACCCTGTCTCTATTATAACTTGGACTATACCCCGTTTACGGCTTGACGTCGACTGCTGGGACACCCTGTATAAAATATGTAGATGCCAGTACTACGATTTGAAACAGGATGGATTATATAAAAGCAATGGAAAATTTATCTGAAAACACGTATAAAAGATCTGATGTAGAATTTATTATTTTGAAAACAGTCACTTACCAATTTTCAAATTCCTTATAATTCGCTGCTTGATAGATGGCTTCAAAGTATTCGTCGAGTTCAAATAACGCAAAACGTACAAATTTGGTGCCATCGATGCTACAATTTGTTCACCACATCCCGTTGGAACGTCTAATAATTCTTCTAGATGCTGCAAAATGACATTAAATTGAACTGTTTATTGATATCATATCCAACGGTCCAAACTATATGTATTCGAAATTTGTGGTAATGATTTTGTGCAATAGTACCTCTATGGTTTGCCCGAATAAGTCTCCATTTACGATAACAGTGGCCTTTGCAGTACCAGGTACCACTTCTTTTGGTGTCGAAATAAACCACGAAATGTTATTCGAACCTGAATCTACGGATAGATAACATTAGTAAAATTCCAGTTTATTTTGTACCAAGTTGTTACCATGTGTACACAGAAGAGCTGATTTCACTAGTCTTGTCGGATAGCCCTCTGATTCAACGAGTATCTTTTTCATCACAATATCCCTACAGTGATAAAGTCAAAATTAAATATATTGGTTATTAGTGCAGTTAAACTAGAGCTACTCTTGAAATTTTGGAACTCGATAGCATCGTTTAAAACATACATAAACTGCAATTATCTAAAAAAAAAATAAACATGAGATCGATGCTATATACCTTTTGGAGATGATAGTTTCTGGGCCACAAGCTAATGGATATTGCGTATCAACTTCACTTAAAACTGTCACTTCCGCAGTTTCTAATGAGGTAGCTTTTACTTGTACGAGATGAGTTATCGTATCATTTTCTTTTAGGCAAAATGACTTGCTCAATTTCTCGTTCGGATTTATCATTTTCAAACCATTAGAAAGGCGTAGGATCACTCTAATCTGTAACATATTTGATCTTAGAACACCTTATAACTCTCTTAAGTTCAAATAAGTCAAAATACATATGTACCGATATTACTAGCTTCAACAAGACAAGTACAACTGAGAATATTAAGCAGACATATCTTTCGAGATACTATCCGTAGAATTTCTATAGAAGGTGCTTCCAAAATAAAAGGATAACGTTCAAGGGTTGATAATTTGGGCTACTACGCGCCCCTTCCCACTTCAGTTGGCCCACTTCAAGATTTGTACCAAAATATGCCTTTATAAACTAAACATGACGAAACTATTTACTTCTAAAACAATTTATTTTCTCAAAAACATTTTAGATACACTCTAGTCGTAAAAAATACATATTTGAAATCACTTCCTAGGCAGCAGCGGTGGCCGCAGTAGTAGACTCTTCGGTCTCCTGATCAATCGCCGTGCGCTGTGCGGGTTCGAGTCCCCTCCCAGGAGACATTTTTCTGTTGGCTATGGATGTTGTGATTCTCCGTAGGTGGTAGACGGTCTCTGACTGTCGAACGTGGAGGTACCACGTGGCGGATCTCGTAGGCGGAGCCAGAATGTGGGCATGTTGCATGCACACGTGTTCCCTCGCCAGAGTCCGTGTGGCGTTCCCCCTTTCCCCTGTATCCCCCTATAGCTGCACGGTACCCAATGGGTGTTTAGGCCTTATGCCTTCGTGGTAGTTGGAGTATAAAAAAAACTTAGACCTATAACTAATAGAACATCTGAACAAATAAACAATGTGCGAATAAATGTACGAAGTTAACAAAGCAACAATTGAAAGATTACCATTGGGTAACATCACCTTTATTCTTTATTACGGCTGAAATTCTTTGGGGCATAGTGTTAGCCAAGTTTTGGCAAAAATTTGGTGTAAAACAATCCCATATTTCTTGAAGCTTTTGTCTCAGTTCGGTGATTGTACGAGCAAGATGTTGTCGTAGAACATTTTTCATCTCGTGCCACAAAGTTTCAATAGGTGACACATCTGGACTGCTAGAAACCCATTTCAAAAGTGGTACATTATTTTCTTCCATCCATTTTAGAGTCTTTTTTGAGGTATGGCACGCTGCACGCTGCACCATCTTGCTGAAACACAAAATCTTGGCCGGATGTCAAACATTCTTCCATCACTGGTAAAAGCGATTCTTCTAAAATTGCCAAATATTTGTTTGTATCCACATTTCCATCAGTAAAATGAAGTTTTCCTACTCCTTTTGATGACACACTGCCCCAGACCATAATGGATGCTGTAAATTTCACTTTTCTCTTCAGACAGTCAACATGGAATGCTTCATTTTTTTGCGAATAACTCTACTGCGACTGTTACCAACACAAACTTCGAATCGTGCCTCATCACTCCATTGTATTGCACACCATTGTTGAGGTGTTCATTGTCTATGTTCTTTAGCCCATCTAAGCCGATTTTTCTTTTGCAGTGGAGTTAATAGTGGCTTTTCTTTGGCATATAAACAAGTTGTGCAGCTTTAGGGTTTTAACTTCACTTTTTTTATAAGAAAACTTACGTTGCAAGTGCTAAATCCCAGTTTGTGGGCCTCACTATGAGTTGTGGACCTCTAAATTCTCCTTCGAACAGCGACACTCTACAGAGCTCTTAATTGTAAATAATTGGCAAACCTGTTTTTCACGATTATTCTTCTTAATGCTCTTCGGACGCCATTTGTGATATTACTTGTTTTCACATATCGTGGCATAATATTAACTGAACCAGTTATGTTATATCTTCTAACAATATTTCTCACACTGTAGCGCTATAAGTCTAACAAAGTTGCAATTTCTGAGTTTGATTTCCCAGAATTCAAAAAATGAATTATCAGTAACCGAATTTTCTCACTAATAACCTTTCCTCTACCAATTTTGAAAACCTTAACTATCCAAAACTATTTTAAACGTATTCTGACAGCTGTGATTAATAAAAACAATTGTCATGGCTTTTATTTTTCACAGCCACCTATGCGTTATAGACTTATTTTGCATTGAAATGAAAATAGGTTGATATGCTGTAATTGTAAAATGTGTTATTTTTATGCTGCAAATTTGATTATGGAGTGATAAAGTTGGTGTTTTCTACTATATATTATCAAAATATTCATTGTTAATATTTTAAACCTACAACACCCTGCTACATTTTTATTATTTGTGTTTAATAAGAAAAAAACTAAGATTTCAATAGTTGGGCCAACTGAAGTGGGAAGAGGCTCGTATTAGATCAATTTAGAAAACTGCTCTATTACGGAAATCCAGCGCAAAGTATTACAGTAGACCCCCGATTATGCGAAATCCCCTTTATCCGAAACAGATCGCATACAATAATTTCTCCGTTTTAACTGAAGTTGTTCAGAAAATCGGTGCATGATCCGAAATAGCTGCGTTTGCGTCATTAGATTCGCTGCCGGTTATTCCCCAAGCGCGTTTGCGGAAATCGCTAAGATGGAGTAGCATAGAAATAAACGTAAACGCGTTGTTATTACCATAGAACAGAAACTTGAGGCAATCAGACGTTTAGATAGATTTGCTTAAAAACGTGGCAAGTGATTTGTAGGCATGAGTACCATTTCAGAATGGAAAAAACAACGCGAGAAAATTGAAAAGTGGTCTAGTGTTCTGACATAATCGCAGCCGTCACAGAAAACTATGAGAAAGAGGGAATATCAAAAAGTGGATGATGCTTTATATCTGCTGTTTACACAGAATCTATAACGTGGAATATCAATTTCCGGACCAATTCTAAAGCAAAATGCAGTCAACTTAGGTGAAGAATTGCCAGCTATTGAGGCACCTGATAACTTTACAGCCAGTGGTGGTTGGCTGCAGAAATGGAGAAAACCACACGGTATACGAGAATTAAAAGTTTGCGGAGAAAAGTTATCTGCCCACAAGTCCGCTGTATTAAAATTTGAAGAACATTTTAAAGAATTATTGAAGCAGTATAGTTTAAATCCAGAACAAATTTACAACTGCGACGAAACGGGATTAAGCTATAAAATGTTACCGGCGAAAAGTTTAGCTTCAAAACAAGAATCTGGAGCTCTTGGTTGCAAACGTAGTAAAAAACGTGTGACTGTCCTTGCTTGTAGCAATGCTTCCGGTCAGGGGCGGCTGGCCCTTAAGTTCTGCAGAACTGCCAAAACTTTTGTCTTAACAGAAAAAAGCAGTAGTAATTTGATCATTATTTATTTTCCATGTTATCACACAAATAGAAACAATACCGGCCTGCCCCCGCAAGACAAGGCGTCAAGTCTGTTTTGTACTAAGAAAGCATTATAATCGACCAATTGTTTACTTGTCATTTTCGTCGCGACCGCAGCGTAACATTATTCATGGACCACTTGAAAAGGGTCTGTGCACTACTTCGACACAAGCCGCACGCGCTTGCTTTTGTCTCTCTCTACAAAATCAAATCCGCGATTTAAGCATAAGCATGTGCTGCAATTTATACAGATTTGTACAGATCTAATGCGAAGTACGATATCTGATTGGTCGGCCGGTGCTCGGTCCTCGGCATTGGCATATTGGACTTTGAATGCGAACAATTTTTTATTTAGGTATTTTGGGTCTTACGTTGAGTTACTCGTGACTCACTGACTGACTGTGGCTGTGTAGAAGGGTAGTGCAAGACAATGGATGTGGTTTATAGACTTATTAGCGCGAAACGATTCTGAAAACACATTTGAAGAAAAAAATGAGCTGAAGGTATCAGGTCGACCGCTGCCGGACATATTTATAGAAACACAGGGCGTTAGTCGGGGCAAGGGCTATACGCGGCATTTCAGCAGGGAGATTTACACCAAAAATGACTCGATTTGTGGGTGCAACAGGAAGAATATCCTTTTCTGCTTTCCTTGCATACTTTTTGGCGGAGGTAGGTGTTACAGATTTAGTGCGCCTGATTGAAAAAATTAAGAAGCATGAAAACTCTAAAACACATGTGCATAATTCGATGGAATTGGCTTTATTGGGGACTGTTAACATCAGAGCTCAGTTAGATTCATCATATTGGAGAAATATACAACAGCATGATGATACCGTTACATAAAACAGGTACGTTCTATCAAAAATAATCGATTGTATAAAATTTTGCGGAGCATTTGAATTGGTGCTACGGGGCCACGGCGAAACCGAGAGCTCCCAAAACCCGGGAATATTTCGTGGAGTGATTAATTTTTCTGCTGAGCTTGATACAACCTTAAGCGAACACTTAAAAAATGCTTCAATATTTAAACGAACTTCGAAAGAAATACAAAACGATCTACTGGATTGTATTCTTGAAGTTTGTCATGAAGAAATGATAAAACAGATTAACAGAGCCTCGTATTTGGCGATAATAGCAGATGAAACAACGGACATTTTGGGGAAAACCCAACTGGTAACAATTTTCAGATACGTATTTAACGACGAATCAGTAGAAAGTTTTTGGAATTATATGAATCCCGTAAAATGTAACGCCGATACTCTCACAAGACATATTTTGAGCGTCGTAGATCCATTAATAGGAAATTTCCCTAACAAACTGATTTCACAAAGCTATGATGGAGCCGCGGTAATGAGCGGACACAATGCTGGAGTTCAGGCAAAAATTAAACAAAGATATCCATTTGCTCACTATGTGCATTGCTATGCGCATCAGTTAAACCTGATTATGTCCCAAGCTGCTTCCGCAAATGCTCAAGTTCGGGTGCGCTTTGGGGATTTGAAAGATATTCCGGGATTTTTAATAGTTCTCCTCAACGCGTAGAGATACTGAACAGAATTGTGGGGAAAAAATTCCCCAAGGAGCAACAACTGGTTGGAATTTTAATATTCGAACAATAAATGCAGTGTTTGAGAACAGAGAATCACTCATTGAATGCATGGAAGAAATAGAAGAAAATTTCACTAATGAAACCATTTGCAAGGCAGCTTGCGGTATTCGCCGTATGTTAAACGATTCTGTTTTCGTGTTTTGGTTGACATTTTTTCATCATGTCATGCCTCACATCGACATCTTGTTCAACCAGTTGCAGAAGAGAAAAACCGAGCCAGCGCAAGTTAAAACGGCTATCGATAATTTTGAAAAATATATTGTCGATGTGAGAAATAAAATTGATGACATAATAAATGAAGCCAAAAGTATTTGCACTGAACCCCAAGGCAGCAAAAGGAGACGACGTAATAATCGCAGTCACGATCACCGAGTTGCCGCATTAGAAGTATGCAACAAAGATCATTTGGTAGCCGCATCCATTTTTTCCCCGAACACTTTGGAGAATACTGTGGTAAGTTTCCTGATGACAAGTTGGAAACTACCTGCTTGGCTTATCCCGAATAAGAAAAAAGTCGTTTAAAGACAGAGTTGTCTGTTATTTATGCACGGAATGATTGCCGAGATTTACATGGAACTCTGTCTCTTTTGAAATTTTTGATACAGAATAGTTTGGAGGAAACACTAAAAGAAACAAAAAAGCTAGTAGAAATTATTGTTACAACTCCTATGTCAACATCAGAGGTTGAGCGAAATTTCTCAACATTAAAAAGAATGAAGACCTTTCTTCGAAATACTATGACTCAGGATCGCCTTACAGCGTTGTCGATGCTGTCCATTGAAAAGGAATTTATTTCGACCATGGAAAATTTCAACGGGAAGGTGATCGACAAATTTCCTGCCAAGGAGGAGCGCAGGATCGAACTGACATAAAAAATAGGTAAGTTCGGATTTGCAGAATACCTGTTTTATTTTGTCACGAGCCGCCACTGCTTCCGGTACATATAAACTTCCTTTGTTGTTAATCGGAAAATCAGCTAAACAAAGAGCATTTTAACACGACCGTCCCAACGCTCTTCCAGCTTCCAGTGTAGTATAAAATAAAAAAAAATGCCTGGATGGATGCCGCTCGATTTAAGGACTGGTTTCTTCTTCTACTTTACAAAAATCTTGGTCGACAATAATTAATAAATGGAACCTTGCGCAGACTATGAGAATAACAACGAAAATTTACATGAGATCGTTGTAAAAATAGCAGGGTGTGAAAATCTTACCCAAGCAGATGTTGGTGAGTGAATTAATGGTGATGAATTGGTTTAAGAATTAACTGATACAGAACTAATAAAAACTGTAACAATGGCGATGAGACAGTTTTAAGTGATGCTAGTGACAATGAGACATAAATCTCTGCCAAAATATCACATTCTGAGGGATTAGAAGCTCTCCAGAAGGCGTTGACTTACGGCGAACAACAAGAAAATCTTTTCATTTTTAATAAATGCTCGTAAATATGTACGTTTGTGTGCACGTGTTTATATTTTACGTAACCTTATATAGGTATATACTCACTTAACACACGCATTTACTTTTTTCGGTAAAAGCATTATGAGTCTAAATATTTATTTCCGTTTTATCTGAAATTTCGATTATCCGAAAGCACTTGGGTCCACATTATTTCGGATAATCGAGGTTCTACTGTATTCCCATATTTGTGTCCTCCGTTTGGGAAACACCATGTGTAATACTTACAGGAAATCTATGGTTAAGGTAGTTGGAGACATGGATGTATAGATAAACTGCTTCATCCCGTTTAACACTGTATGGTGAGAGTACTTCGACGAAAAATGATTGGAAGCTGGATATTTCTATCTCTGGGCTTATGCCAACACCTTCTTCTCCAGATACGCAAACTACATTCGTCATCCAGTTAGTTATGCTATGAGGTAGGTGTCTTCTTAGTTGAACATGATCGCTTAAACAATAATAAATTGAAAATGAATGAGTCAAGCGACATATAAAGTATAAAAAGCAACACTGGCTTGTGTCTTGTCCAACACAAGGTACCATGCAAAAGTAACAATCATTAATATGATTTGTAGGCTCTCTCCAAACCATTGGGACAGCAATGCGCATAGACCGTTTTTTGCCATTTAACCAGCTCCTCAGACTTGAAGCACATGTATTACAGCAGATGTGGGGTGCCCACTGTTTGTCTTGATCACCTAGTTTACAACCGAAATAAAGCTGATATGCCTTTGTTATTAGTGGAGTAATAGACCGTCTCTGAGACGCAAAAGTCACATCACCACACACGTAACAAAATGATCTGGATTGTTTACACACTTTCGAGACATCTTGCATGAACGCTGTCAGCCAACTGAGGAAAAAATGGCTAATATAAAACAATATAATGTACACGTATGTATAACGTAACACAATCATGCCGATTACATCATCTTTCCTTGCCGAATATAAAAATGTAGCACGTGCATTCTTGTGAATTACAGTATATTAACACTGTCACACCATGAACACATATAATTACCGTAGGCGTTTTGCTTTTATGGATCGAAGCCTTTTTGTGAGGAAGGACACTCTGCGTCTGTGATGGAGAGAGCTACTCCCCTAGCCATACTAGTTTGCTATATTAACTACTACACTTGCTCTTTTTATTCGCTCCAACACAGACACGAAATATTGGTAAAGACCACACATAAAAATATCAACCAAGGATCACCGGGAAGATTAACAAAATATATATCGCCACACCTGTTTGCAGCTGCAGATCCCAGACGGAAGAGATTGCAGAAAATTAATTCTGGAAATACTTTTTTGTCTTCTAATGTCAAAAATTGGGTCAAGCTAAAAAAAGGTTTTTAGGAGATTCCTGAATTTTTAGTTTGAATATGGAGGAAAACTCTAAAAAGGATGGAGCTAGTGAGGGAGTGGAGAGTGTGGTCTCACTGAGTGAAAAGAGATTTTGTACAGAGGAAGATTTGAAACTAAAAGATTATACCATTTCGATTCAAGAGAATTTAATAAAAGAATTGTACGAAAAGATAGACCAATTAAACAAAAAAATTGGGAAGATGCAACAGCCGTCACAAGAAGCAATTACAACTTACGCTAATATGGTTAAAGCTTCAGGGCCTTCAACCGTTAATTCGCCTACAACAATGGTAGAATATAAGCAGCAATGCTTACCATTGCAAACACGTACAGCAAAAAAACAATCACCAGTATTAAAACCCACAAATACAGTCATTGTTAAGCCTAATAACCAACAAGAGTGTAATAACACAAAGAAAGACATCGCAAAATTTGTGAATCCTACCAGTTTGAAAATTGCTATTGAAAAAGATTATGAATTGAAGGATGGTGGGGTGAAAATCCAATGTAAAACAAAAGATGATAATGCGAAGCTACATAAAGAAATAAAATCAAAAATTCCAGAAACATATACAGTGAAAACTTCAGAGATAAGTAAAAAACCACAAATCAAAGTTATTGGATTTTGTCAAGAATATGCAGAAGACGAGCTGAAATCACAAAATGAATCTTTTCAAGAAAATTCACATATGAGAGTAATTACAGTCAAGAAAATGAAAACTAAATATCAAGCAATTTTAGAAGTGGATGCTGTGACTTTTAAGTGTGTTATGAATCAGGGTGTTATTTTTATCGACATGTCTGCTCTGTTTTCGAGTACATCAATGTTTTGCGATGCTACAAATGTACCGGATTTAACCGCACAGCTAAATACTGCACAAAATCAGGAAGATGTATTACTTGTGGATTAGAAGGACATTCAACAGAAAACTGTAGTACCAGTGAAATGTACAAATGCTGCCCAAATTGTAAAAGTGCAAACCAGGATTTTAATCTAGGATTACCTATTAATCATGGACCATTTGACAAAAATTGTGAAGTATATAAAAGGAAAATTGAACGTGAGAGGGAAAAAATTAGTAATGCAAATGAATAGCAACTACTAAGGCCAGATTTGCAAGACGTGGCTAAATGTGTAAGTGATGAATATAACTCAATATACCATTTAAACATACAAGGAGTCCTGAATAATATAGATGAAGTTCAACAGTTTTTAAGATGGAGAAAACCACTTGTATTATGTCTTACCGAAACACATGCTACAGAAGACATCACTGATGGTGAATTACAAATTACTAATTATAAAACCTACAGATGCACCTCCAACTCCAGACTTACTGGAGGTGTAGTGATTTATGTTTACCACAAAATACAGATCACATTATCCGATTGTACCACTTTAGACTTTGCATACTGGTATGCACATATACAGTTCAAATTATTTGGGAAACGTTATGATCTTTGTACTTTTTATCGTTCACCAAACAGTGATGCGGATACATTTTTAACGTTTTTTGAAGAAAAATGGGAAGAAATGTGGAATTTTAGAAACAATATAATACTTTTAGATGATTTTATTTTAAATTATTATGGTAAAAGCATGAAAACAAGAAAATTGAAAGAAACCATAAACAACTATGGGTTCAAGCAAAAAATTGAAGAGAGTACCAGAATAACATCATTATCAGAGACTTTGTTATATCTTGTTATTGTAAATTTCGAATGTGCAGGGATTAAAGCTGTACATACACCTAAAGTTAGCGATCACAGTTGAACAATGCTGCCCTTGGTAGGGCATTTTTCTGATACAAAAATTGAGAAAATCGTAAATACTATTAAGTACGAAAAACTTGAACGAGAACTTGTTGGCTGCTATTGGAATTTTGGTGAGAATATGGAAAAAATATATGACAACATAATAGGAAATATAAAAACTTGTTTAGATCTTGCAACTGATAAAAAAGTGATTTGCTCGACAAAAAATACACCCTGGTATAACAAGAATATTAAGGCAGCTCAAAATTTGAGATACAAACAATACAATAAATGTATATTCACAAAATCAAATGATGATTGGGAGGTATATAAAACTCTTAGGAATAAATGTGTATATGTAATTAGACAAGAAAAAAGGAAATTCTACGATAAACAAATCGATAATAACAAGTGCGACAGTGTAAAGATGTGGAAGACTTTAAAAAGACTGATCAATTTGAAGCCGCATGATTGTGTAAATCAAGTTCAATTCGAAAATGGTATCAAAACAAATTCTTTGGTGATTGCAAACAAACTAAATGAATATTTTGTGGAAAGTATTGTTGATATTGTGGGTACTGCCAATGCTGCACCTGACTATATGAAAATCAGTTTCCAGGGGGAAATGTTGCATACACTTTCAAAATTTCACAGCGTATCATTGAATTATCTAAGAAAAAAAAAATAAACAGTTTAAAATCAAATAACAACTGTGCCGAAATGACTACTAAAAACGTGCTGAAAAACAGTTTCGAAATTTTGGGATATCCTGTATTAAATTGGATCAATTGTTCACTGAGAAGCAGTTCTTTTCCTGAAAATTTGAAATGCTCTACAATAACACCAGTTCCCAAAATAAAAAATTCTAAAAGATGCAGCGATATGAGACCAGTAAATGTGTTACCAGACATTGAAAAATTATTAGAGTCCATAGTGCATGACCAATTTTAGTGGAGGCGCAAGCAGGCTTTCGAAAAAAATATTCCACAGAAACAGCTTTCCAGTTGGTAACTGAGAATTGGAGAAGAGCCATGGACTCAGAAGAAGTTGTCATAGCAGTATTTTTGAATTTGAAGAGGGCATTTGAAACGATTGATAGAGATATTTTGTTAGGTAAATTGAAGGCATATGGTATAACAGGAAGTGTTTTAGATTGGTTTAGAAATTATTTGTCTAAGTTACAAAAGTTAATGACACTATTTCATCAACAATTGAAAATACGTTGGGTGTTCCACAGGTCAGTATTCTGGGACCACTTCTTTTTATTTTATACATAAATGATTTACCTGCCATAGTCAAAAAATGCAAAATTCAGATTTTCGCCGATGGCACTCTGATTTATATAAGTACTAAAAATATTCAGTCTGGTATCTCTTATATAAATGAAGACTTGAAGCTTGTCTCAATGGTTAGCATCTAACAGACTAAAATTAAATGCAAGTAAAACGAAAGCCTTGTTAATCGGAAAAAAACAATGTACAAATGTTCAACTGAATATTGATGGTGAAGATATTGAATTCGTAGAAAATTTTAAATACCTGGGGGTTTTTGTTGACTCTCGATTAATTTTTGATATTCATTATGAAAAAGTTATAAATAAGATTAGTAGTAAAGTGGGATATTTATCGAGAGTTTCTGGATGTCTGAGTTCATATAGCAGAAAAATTATCTATAATACCATCATTCTTCCAAATTTCTTGTACTGTTCGACTCTTCTATATTTAGCAAATAATTCCATTTTTGAAAGACTGCAAATTTTACAAAATAAGTGCATGATAATAATACTAAATAAAGATAAATATACTCCAATTAGACAAATGCTTAGCAAATTAAAATGGCTCAATGTAAAAAATTTTATCAAATATCTTGTAATGATATTCATTTATAAAGTAAAAAATAATATATTTCCATCAAGTCTAACTAATTTAACATCATCAAATGTCGACCATCATTTACATAATACCAGAAATAAAGATGACTTCCATTTAATGACCAAAAAGTATAACACATGCTACAAATCTGTATTCCATCAAGGGTTAATTGAATATAATAAATTATACTCGGAGATAAAAGACCAGAAAACTTTGTCAAAATTTAAAGTAAAATTGAGAAATCACTTGTTAAATCTACAATTATAGGTTGCCCAGCATTTACATCATACACCATATGGCTTAAATTTACTAGTTCTAAGTTGTTTACAATTGTTCTGTTTATGTAGCCAAATGTGCTAAATAAATCTTTCTACGACTACTACTACTACTACTACTACTAGTACTACTACTACTACTACTACTACTACTACTACTACATACTGTTACTTGTGGAGTACCGCAAGGATCTGTGCTAGGGCCAATACTCTTTTTTATATACAAGCGGCCTGCACATGCAATTTTCTTCAATGTGTTGTCGCTATTGATACTTCGCGAGTGTACTGAGATAGTTATTCTAGATGCTAATGCCCCGAACCGCGTAGGTATGTTTATATCATATATCGAGGTGAACTCAGTAGAAAACCTAGACAGCCTCGAATGTTGCTTCAGGAAGAACTTAACAAGCTTCTATTTTGTAATCGAACGGCAAGAACTCTAAAGAGGAATTAACGAGCAACATGTTACGTACCAAATGAATAGAGAGTACTTTTCTTCATTTTTTTAACATTTTCCATACTGTTTAATCGCATATTAGCCTTGTTATTTCGCATTTAGTTGTTTTTGTAGAAGAAAGTCCCAACTTTTAGGACACATAGATACATGGTTGGTGGCGCTACGGTACTATACATTTGAATTCGACCTGTTATTCGAGCTTCGTCTTCCGCTATACCAAATTACACCGAACTAAACGAACAGCATCATGCCAGTGTTGCCATTGACTTATGATGCGGATACTTACCTCACAGGTATCAATTCCCAAAGCCATGTTTCAGGAAAGTCAGATCTTATTGAAACAGCCTGTTCCTCATTTTGATCATCGTATTGTTCAGTCATGAACTGGACTGGAAACGAACGTTATTTAAGAAGCGGTAAATGTATATTTTGATTACTAACCTTGATTATGATCTTTGATTAGAGGACCTGGAAAAGAATTATCGTAATTATTGAGATCGTTTCAGCGTATTGAATAACGTAAGAATTTTGAGACATAAAAAATACTCACCATTGTAACATGGTTTGGTGACGATCTTCAAATTAGATATTGTGACAGTCCCAAATTTCTGACAAAAAAAGGTTTTTTACTTTATGTTTAAACAGTATAGTGCAACTTACACTGAATATGTCATATGCGTCGTAATCTTCTGAAAACGGATAAATGTGACGTTTTCTTCTTCTTAGTTCCCAGGAAGTATCATTTGTTACAACAGACTCATCATTGTGATATGTCATAGAAGCCACTAAAAAAAAGGTATAATTAAAAAATGTTCAAATAGGCAACTTTTAGGCGTTGTATCGCACTGACTACGCAGCGTCAGCCACGTGATACTATTGCGTGTGGCAACTTCTCTCAGTGTGCGCCGAGATCTCGAGGTAACATAGTGTCGCCCGAAAATGTATACAGGGAAAACCAAATTTGTCTGAAGGCTTGAGTTCAATGTGTACGAGAGAGAAGCGCGAGAAGTGTGTATCAACATATGTTAGAAAGAGATAGAAGCCGCCTGAAGAGCGAAGGTCATCATCACATTGCCTCGTAACGGTGATGCAGATGGTCGTGCAATCTGCCGCGTTGCCAATATGTCACAACCAGAAAACGTTCGTACAGGCTTCTGCAATAGGTTAGGTTACTGTCAAATCCAAGAAGGAGGTCTGTTCGAACATGATTTAATATTTTGTTTCCATTTTGATTAGAATTATTTATCTCAATTTTGATACGGCTTAGTGTTCTCATTTATTTTAGAATTATCTTTGATTTCCTCCTTTGGTTTTAAAATCAATACATCATAACTTATTGTTACAAGAAATACCATTACGCAATACAAACTATCACCGCCTGCGTGTATACAGGTGGAAACCATTTCGAATCGCTCATCTATGATCATGGAGGTGGATATCTTGCCTTGGAGTGCACGAGGTGCGGTGATGCCAAGCGAACCAATGATGCTATGTTGCAGAATTTGTGGCGATCCTGACCTTTCATTTCGACATAAATTGGAGTGCCGTTAGAACCAAACCGGAATCGATCCCAAATAGATTCGACACAATTCACAATTCAAAATTGTGTACGCTCAAAATAAAACCATTATTTGGGCGTAGAGAATGAACTAACGCTTATTTTCAATATGAATCTGAATTCAAGGTTTTGGTGTAACATATTGGCAACGCGGCAGATTGCTGCGTCAGCGTTGCTAGGCAACGCGGTGATGAGCTTCGCTATCCAGCCGGCGTTTATCTCTTTCTAATATACAGACACTTCTCTCTCGTACACATTGAACTCAAGCTGTCAGACAAATTTGGTTCTCAGTGTATAAATGTAAACTTAGGAAGTTGTGTTGCCATGTAGTACTAAATATGCTTTGATTTCGATACCCTTGCTTTTATGGTTTTTCCTCATAGGTGGTATACATGATTTCCTCGAAGATTGAGGTGCTTCTCTTTCCTCTAACGCGAAGGCTTTCAACAAAGTGCTTACATCGAATCTGTTATAGTTATTTGGTAAAAATTTCACAGACTTATCAACTGCTGATAATGAACATAAGGAATCTGCCCCAGTTTTGATGTTTAGAGTGGTTGTGGCACCTGGAATCACCTGTTTCTGGGACCATTTCGCATTTACCTACAACAAAAAATAATGAAAGGTTATATTTTTTTCAGATTGGTTCAAATTACCTCCATGAGACATGGTTTGACTTCATTAGTTTTGCTAACAGCGATTACTTCACCATTATTAGCAACATAGTAAACTAACAACTGATACTTGGTCAAAATTCGCTTGTCTAATCTAAACTTCAAATGAAAGCTATCGATATTTGCTACAGATTTGACAAACTTATGTTTTTGTCCAATGATGTTTTTCAGTCCATTGACAGACCGTGTGGTCCTTTTTTTGACTACGTGCTGGAGTTTCCTCAATTTGTAAATGTGTGACGAAGTCTTCACCTGCAAAAAATATATTGCTTTAATTTTTATTTTAGTGATTATATTTTCCATTCGTTCAATATTAAAAATATACATTACCATGAAATAAAATGTGACATTTTCATTTTCTTCCATTTCATCGGTTGTGAAAAATACCTTGTAATGTTCAGGGCTTCTGCATTCATTTTCTGCTTTTTCAGCGGTGTCTTGATGTAGATAAATGTAGCTGTTACTGAGAGAATGCAGTCGAACTACTAGAGCACTATCACCAACTTCGGTGTGATTCAATGATCTAGCCTATAAAGTATAATCCCAAAGGATTATTTGTTTGTTATTAATATGATAAATCATAGTTTTTGTTCTTAAACGGTCACCTTTAATTCTATTCCGTTTCATATAAGGCGTGATTTAGGAAAGCGTGAAAGAAATGTAACGTCTGTAAATTATTCTGCATAATGCTATATTTGTCTGACTGAATCAAAACCGCATACAGTACTCAAACAAATTAAGGGAGCAAGTATTTCCGAACGAAACCTGGAATAAACCTCCTATAAGATTTGATTGCAATATTTGAGATTTTTTTCTTTTGATTTCTTAGTCAAAAAGCCACTTTTGCCTTGTTTTGGAAAAGCGACCGCATTTTTGGAACTGCTAATGAAAAGGATAATGCTTTTAGGTTTTGTTATACCTCAATGTAACCTCAAAAAACCATTGTACGGTTTCTCCGGACCAATTGGTTCAAATTTGAAAGAAAGAAGCAAAACTTCTGTATCAAAACATGCTGTAATCTGGTTGAAAAAGGAAAAATCATTTTTTCCTTTTGTTACTAAAATTTTCCTCAAATATTGCAGTCAAATGTTATAGGGGATGTATTCCAGTTTTCAGAAATACTCTTAAATTCTCCATGCGAAAACTGAATACCGGGATATCAGTGGTCGATGATAAAAGAATCCTTTTTCATATAAAGTCTAGTAGACTCTTCGGTCTCCTGATCAGTCGCCGAGCGCTGTGCGGCTTCGAATCCCGTCCCAGGAGAAATGTTTCTCTTGGCTATGGATGTTGTGATTGTCCGTAGGTGGTAGACGGTCTCTGACTGTCGAACGCGGAGGTACCACCCGTCGGATCTCGTAGGCCGGGCCAGAATGTGTGCATGTCGCATGCACACGTGTGCCCTCGCCAGAGTCCGTGTGGCGTTCCCCCTTTCCCCTGTATCCCCCTATAGTCCCTCGGTACAACATGGGTATTTGGCCTTAGGCCTTCGTGGTGGTTGGAGTATAAAAAAAGATATCTCCGCGCCAAATGATGTATTTTTAAAACAGGATATTGACTGAATAAATGGGCTATCTGATTCACATGGTGGGAATTCAAACCCGTGGACAAAAAAAAGAAGGCAAACATTTTGCAAAACAGTTTCCTGCGCTATATGTATCCCCCTATAGTCCCTCGGTACAACATGGGTATTTGGCCTTAGGCCTTCGTGGTGGTTGGAGTATAAAAAAAGATATCTCCGCACCAAATGATGTATTTTTAAAACAGGATATTGACTGAATAAATGGGCTATCTGATTCACATGGTGGGAATTCAAACCCGTGGACAAAAAAAAGAAGGCAAACATTTTGCAAAACAGTTTCCTGCGCTATATGTTAGAATTGCATGAGAACCGTTGATCCTAAAATTTTTCGGGTAAAGAACCTAAAATCTAGGATCTTGAAGCTTCAAAATTCGCTGACCGTTTTCCACCAAAATACAGCCTGACAAAAGTCACCGAAAAATTTATGTTTTTCTTGTTCCCTTAATTTTTGTTTGAGTGGTGTATGTTTAAAATTCCTCTTTATTGAACGACGTTTCGATCCCAACAGTAAACTTCAAGTTCAATTGACACTTATTGACAATATATTTTATAACAAAGCGATAAGAAAGTCCTCGAAAATGTAAATTTTCAATATTTTGTCCCAAAATCATAAGTATAATCGGAAAATAAGAATTACGAATCTTTTTCTAATTTTACCAGTTCGCTCAGTTTATAGTGTGAGTGAGCATTCACCATTTTTCACACATATCAGCAACAGATTTTGCTCCAATACACTTCAGTCCGGAAGCGATAAGAAGGCTTGAAAAGGGCAAATATTCAATATTTTATTATAGGAAACATCGAAAAACAAGAAAACGCATATTTTTTAATTTTACCAGTATGTTCAATCAGATTATAATGGGTGATTCAAATTGAGTTTCCACATTACAAATAAATTTTTTTTTGAAACACCACTGAATTTGTCAACGACAACGTGCCATTTCTAACGTCAAAATATAAACAAAACAGTCATCAAGCAATATACGACCGAACAACGTGTTAAAATGATCCAAGCCTATAATGAAAACGGCCGATCAAGGAAGCATACATTTCGTGCTTTACGTGAATTTTTTGTCGCACAAAATCGGCCTTCTGAGAGGACAGTTTGGAATTTGGTGCAAAAATTCGAGCAAACTGGATCCGTCGCTAACACCAAAACCTCTAGGCGTGCTCGTAGAGGTCGGTCGGAACACAATACTGCTATTGTTGCCGAAAGTGTTGCCGAAAATCCAAGAACATCAACTCGTTATCGATCGCAGCAACTAGACCTTACTTATTTCACTATACAGCGGATTTTAACAAAAGATTTGAAGTTACACCCATACAGAGTCCAAATAACACAAGAAGTGAAGCCTAGGTCACACATAAGGAGAAACGATACATTACTGCGCGGCAAGTTTCCAGGTCGCGTTATTTCACGTAACGGCGATATCAATTGGCCGCCGCGATCCTGTGATTTAACTCTCTTAGATTATTTTCTTTGGGGGTATTTCAAAGGCAAAGTCTACAAAAATAAACCGAACACAATTGCGGAGCTGAAACAATAGTTCAGACGCGAAATTACCAACATAGGACCTGATTTGTGCCACGGAGTAGTCGAAAATTTCTCGAAACGGATTACGTCATGCCACATGGGCCGCGGCGGTCATATACTTGATATCATGTTCCATGCATAATTGTAATGAACTGCCCCGAAAGGACAAATACATACTTTTTTATAATTTTCAATTTGAATCACCCTATAGAATGCGCATTCACATCTTTTCACAAATGTTAGCCACAAATTTTCAGGCTTCTTGGATCATGCTAAACTAAAGATATTCTTAATAACCTCTCTCTAAATGTTACTATCTACAATACATTTAAGCTCGATTAAATATGATTTATTTTTCAAACAAAAATTGTAGGGTCTAGGGAGCACAGCAGGTGACCTTGACAATGACCTTGATTACGTCATTTAAGCTCATCTCAAGGTCAGGTGAACATTACCTTGAAGGCCATTTCAAGATCAAATCGAGACATTAAGAACATGGTCAAGCTTATGGTCAAGGTCGGAAATAAAATTTCGTCCCATATTCAACTCCGATGTAGAAGGGTGAGTTGCAGAATATTGACTTGACCTTGAAATGACTTGGAAGTTGGAAGATAGTGATCAATATCCTACGTTTATCAGAAATTTGGTATTTTTCGATGTACTATTTATATGTTTTAGCAATATTTGGATATTATCGTAGTTTGTACCACTTTAGCATTCTGCTAAGCTTTTGTAAATGATGACTTATGTTAACTGTTTTTATATCTACTCATATGTTTTTCTTAATTTTATGATGTTTAAATGTACCATCGGTTCCGCCTCACCTTTAATTTGTGTTACTCCGTCGATATGATAATGGCTATCTGAATATTTTGTCAAGTAGATTGACTCAGTCCTTAAGACGTATTGATATACAACAGACACGAACTGACAAATCGATGAGAAACACGGACTTGTGTGATGTAGATATCTTTGGGTATCACGAGAATAATACTTCCATCGTTTAAGTAGACGTAAATTTGAAAACTGATTCAAAGGCGGTGGAAAGAAAATCGCTGGAACATAGTGTTTCAACGTTTCAGAGATTGCTGTTCATTTTCAGACATTGTTTGGAGGAAATGACAATTGTAGGTTGGAAGCTGTATGCGGTAAATGTTTGCAAATTGTTGCATTTTTTGTGACTGTGAAAGCCCTTGTATTATTAAGAAGGTGCTGATCTCAGTGATACTATGCCATAGAAGCAGATATATGTAGATTTGCTTTATATAGTTTGATATGCAGAGGTCGAAGATTCATCGTACCTAAGTGAACCTACCTAATCACGATTTTTCTCATCCCTTTTCTTTGAAACCTCCAACTAAGGCGTATTAAGAATAGAGTCAATCTACTTGATGGATCACAAATATCACTTACGTTCAAATTGATATGAATCACATTGTGCCTCAGCGGCAATATGGTAAAGTCGACAGTACTTTCCTCGCTGACTGAAAAGTTTGAACACTGTTCATTGTTCAAATAGTTCCAGCTTTTTTTGATGGCTAGGTTGTAACAAATCTCGACAACTTCGTGCTTCAAGTCCACATTCACGTTGAATAGCTTAAGTCTCCCTTTGTAAGGTAACCCGGGTTGAAACATAGGGGTCGCTGAGAATTTCATGAGGTAGGGCTTCAAGTAGACCAGAATTCTGCCAGTAGTAATGTCGATCCTATTAGTGCCTTTTTCTGTAACAGTCGCTGCCATTTGGAGGTACACTTTCGGATCGTACATCGGGAATTTGTCTTTCACATTTTCTAGGGCTAGTTCTTGGGAAGGTATTATAAAGTCAGTGCAACCATTTTCCAGCTATAAGAAATAAAATATAGGTAGATAATTAATAAGTACTACTGAACCTAGACTCGTTGGAATACCACAGTTAAATTTTTGATTTGTTTTCTTTTTACAATAGACAAAGGTTTCAAAAGGTTGCTGAGAGGTGCCTGCACAAATAAATTTTAATAATTTTTATGAATATTTAATCAATAATTGAAGAAATAAATGGTTTTTGTACTTGAAAAATATGTTTGGGATTATTTTTGTAATATTAGAAATGTTCAAAAAGATGTTCCTTGAATTGCTAGAGCCATACCTCTTGAAGTCTATGTACAGGAGGCATGTTGCCATAAGAATCAGTAATTTTTATCAAAGATAACCCCTTGACGTATCTCCCATGGGCATATCTACTACATACTGATATTTTCAATTTATCTGCCTTGTAGTATATCAGCTTTGGATAAACCAGGTCAATTTTGTAACGAGGCAAAGTATATTTCAGCACTTCGAATGTTTTCGTAGTGTCTAGGGCTTCTATTTTCCATTTCCCCTGAAAAAAAAAAGAAACAAAATTAATCCATTAATGTGTGATTTTAATTACTTTAGTTAAATTTACCGTTAAAGATTCTTGTACCATCGTATATTCCAAACTCAACAGACCATTTTCTGGAGTTATATTCTCCCATGCCGCAACCGTAACATCTAGAGGATTTTTTATTTTTATGACAGGAACCTAAAAACGTGAATGGCAAAATGTAGAATGCAATATGTTGGACATCAGATATCAAAATAGCACGCGACCTTCCCTTCCAATATTTTTTATACCAAAAGACTCGAGAATTTAATTATGGATCATTTTATGATGGAGAAACACATCAAGTTTGTTTAAATATACCGGGAAAGTTCACAATCACTTTACTTCGACCGCCAACTGGCGAGGAAGTATTATAATCGCGAAAAATGGGACATCCTTTATATTTTCATCGAAGATATTATCCCTTTTTTCTGATTCCAAATATATATGGCTTGTAAAACACATTTTTATTACTTAAGTAAAAACTCGAAGCTTGTGTGTCATTTATTCATTTGTATTTTCGCTCTATACCAGATTGCACAGGCAGCTATAGATACAATCAGGTTTGAAATCGGATACGCTTGAGTAAATGACACACACACTCTAAGTTTTTGGCTAATGAAAATAAGAATGATGAACCTTATATATTTTGATCCAGAAAAAAAGGATCCGTCAGTTTCCATGAAAATATACAGGGTAAAAAAATACAACTTTTCTGAGACATACATACGTTTACAAAAAAATATACATATATTTTTGTTGTTTCAGATTTATTTAGCATTAATGCTACAATGTCCATAATATCCATATTACACAGTATATCACAAAATATATTATGTATTCAAGAGACTACATATTTTTAAACAAAATTTCACTACTATGAATTCTGGTTTTCCATGAGATATTTTTTCAATTTCCCTTTGAACATTTTCAAACTGACACACATCTTGATATCATAACTTAATTTATTAAATTCGTACAATCACTTTTGAAATACTGACTTGCTCGTTATATTGCTACTGCAATTTTGTAAATGAAAGTCTATACTTCCTCTAGTAGAATAATTGTGGCACTCATTGTTCAATACAATAAAATTTTCTAAGTGATTTGGTAGAAGATGATTTTTCAACTTGAATATGAAAACGTAAACCAAATAGGCTATGAAATTTTTGATATTTAACCATTGTAGTTCTTTCAGCATAAAATTTATTCTAGTATATTTATTTTTATTTAATATGATTCTATAGCTTTATTTTGTAATATTTATAATTTTGAAAATAATTCAGTTTTATTTGCAGAGAACAAAATAGTCGAACAATATAACAAATGAGGAAGAATGTGTTGTACACAATTTTTTTAGAATAAACGCTTAGGCTATGTGAAATTCTATAAAAGTAATTTATTTTCATGGATATTTTTGAAATAATATATTTATATAAATTTTAATTTAGTGTCTAAATATTTAAATGATTCGATTGACACAATTTTTTCATGATTAATTGTAAGATTTATCGTATTTTGATTTAAAGATTTTCCTATTAGCATATATTTTGTTTTGTTTGGGTTTAGTTTAAGTTTATTTACACTTAACCAATTTACTACGTTTTTCATATCATTATTTAACAGCTCTATTGCAGATTCAATGTCTTTATTTGTTATACATATATATATATATACAGGGTGACTTTGAAGTTGAGTCATTAATTTTCAGATAATGATTGTAGAAGGAATATAAACCAAAATATGTGTGTAAAAATTAAAAAAAAATTTTTACCTTGTTTTATAAACTATCCTCCCGACAAGTATTTCAGTGCGGACCTGTATTTGATCGTGAGGTCCCCTGTGAGGTCTTAAGTCACCTGATTCACGAGCCCGTTGTACTACATTAACAAAGGCACGAGGGGTTGGTTGCACTCGATTGGGAAACCGATCCGCATAAACATGTGCCATTTTTTATTTCGTTTGAGCCACGCAACAGATACAACTATTCACTGACACTGACTGTATACAAATGAATGAAATAATTCGTTCCAAATTCTTTCGCTTTTTTGTTTCCGATGCGATGAACCGATACGACGGATTATATCCGTTGTCGCCAAACACGAGCACATTGAGACAGGGCGGTACTCAAACTTCCAAAGGGCTATAACTTTGTTACTTTAATTTTACCAGAAAAATGGTAAAGGAAAAAAACATTTCTTTTGATCAGATCTACTCACTGTTAAAATAAATGACTCAACTTCGAAGTCACCCTGTATATATATATATAATATAAGTTGAATACTGAACCTTGGAATCCATAGCAATGCAATTTCGTTAACAATTTCTCCCTGTCAATGGTCTCAAATGCTCTCTTAATATCTAAGAACAATGTTACTGTAAACTTTTTTTCATCCATATTTCGCCTTCATTTTTCTACTACCATTTGAATTGCCGTTTCAGTAGAAAACTTTTTTCTGAATCCTGCTTGAGATTTTGTCAATATCTTATTTTCTTCAATATATTCAATGACTTGTTCATATATGATTCCTTTTAAGAGCTTCTCGACATCTGGCAGTACATTAATTGGCCGCATGTTTGTATATAACTCAGAATTTTGCACTTTTGGAACAGGATTAATTGTAGACGATTTTAATTTTGAAGGAAATTCGCCATACACTAAACAGTGATTCACTAACAATAATAACTTCTCTCCAATAATGTTGAAACATTCCATCATAACCATTTTTGAAAGATGTTCACTAGGATTTCTATTCGATTTCAATCTTGTAATAGCTTTTGAAAGATATGTGATATTTATTGTTTGGAATTTTCTCATAGAAGAATTACAAGTAACTTGCATGTGACATAGATTTGGATCCCCATCTTCGATTAATTCCACTATCTCATTTATACTTTCTATAAAATAAGCGTTCATTTGTTTTGCAATCAATATTTTTTGTGTTACTATACCATCTTAGAAGCACATGCTTGATAATTCATTCTTCCTACTGGGAGATATACTTTTTTAGTGACTTCCACATCAATTTACTGTTATTTTTATTGCTATCGATTGTTTTCATAATATTTTTTCTTTTCGTCGCGTCAAGAAATATTTGTGAAAACCAGAGTGTTGGCTTTTTCCTTTGATATACCACTTTCCTAATTTGTGCGTCTCTCATGCAGTTCTCCATACAATCCATAATTTTTGAGAAGTAGGTAAGTGTCAGCATCATTAAAAATGTCAGTGATATTGGCTTGTAAGAGTGACTCTCGTAGTCAATAATTGTGATTTCTCTTGATTCTCTCTCATTAAACATATTTTCCACCTCGAAACATATCCACGAATGGTCACTTACTTTTGGAGTATGTAAAACCTTAATACTCAAATTCTGTTCATTGGTTATTATTAAATCGATCTTAGTTAGTGAAAAGTTTGTAGTCTTTGTGTCGTCATTAACTTTTTTCCATAGAGCATGAAAGTTCAGTACTTGTTTAATTTTTTTTACATAAAAATCTTGATTATCAAAATTTATATTGAAGTCCCCCAAGTGCACAGTGGAGCAATTTCGATAATATTGTTTTTCACAAACACTCTCAAAAAAGTCCAAAAATCGGCTAATATTACAGCTTGGAGATCTGTAATAAACGTGTACATTGTAATTTTGTTTCATCTTCATTTCAAAATTAATATACCACCATTGATAATCAACAACTACAGTATTATGTGTTTATACTTCAACCATACTCAGTTTGTTTATTAGTATGCCACCTGTATGTTTCGAAACTGTGTTTAGTCTTATAATATCATAATTATGAATATCAATCTCCATATCTTCAATATCTTCTGTAATATGTGTTTCAGTCAAGCAAAGAACTAATGGTTTCACTAATATTAAAAAATGTATAACTTCATCCCTGTTCGATAAAAATCCTTGAATATTTATGTGGTATACATTGTTAGAATATTTTTTGGCCTGTAATTGCTATTTGTCACCATAAGACACTTTATTTTTTGATTTTTCATATTCGATTTGGACCATGTTGCAGGTATAGCGGAAGGATGAGTGATTTATATCCAAATTTGTGTTGTACTTCAAATTTGATTCTCTGCAATTTGGATATGTTACTTCATCTTTTGATATCGAACGGTTCTGAACCTGATGATCACTATTACCACATTTTAAACAAATACTGGTCTTGGTGCAATTCTTCGCTGTGTGATGAAATCTACCACAGTTAAAACACCTCAGAAGATCGTAATGCTCAAAAATTGTACAAACATCCATGGATCCAAACAAAACTCCTGCTTTCATTACTGCTTCAAATGTCGATCTATCCAATTCCAAAATTGCCATATACCGAAATTTCATTTTTCTGACTGCCACTACTTTAATCGAAGCATCACTATTTATAACGTTGTTTCTCATTTTTAAGTCTCTAATCAATTCTTCATTGTTTAAGTCTTCACTGAAACCCACATCTTTAATCATTGGTAATTTTTTGTGGCCTACATTTACTTTATAATTCTGTTCAACACTTTTCAGTGCTCCATCTTTCAAATCATTTACTTTTTTAATAGACAAATTCATTTTTGCTGGATTTATATACTTGCTCAATTCCTGCTTTGTTTGCGAACAACTTTGATTTGTATTATTAGGTTTAATAACAATTGTATTTTCCGGTTGTGTTGTTGTGTTTATATTTTTAGTATATTCTACCGTTTTTTTTTTGGCGAAGTAATGTTGGTGTTTTTATGTGTAGAACTTTTGACCATGTCTGCATAAGATTTACTGTTATTTGCAGGTGTATCTTGTAAATTCTCAATTTGTTTATTTAGTTTATCTATTTTTTCATATAGTTCTTTTATCAGTTTTTCTTGTATCGAAATAGTATAGTCTTTTATCTTTAAAATGTCTATTACACAAAATCCTTTTTCTTCATGTGATATATTCACCTCAATTGCTTTTCCACCAGCTTCAGTCCCATCTTCATCAGTCTCCATATGGTTCAACTCGATATTTTTTCAAGAAAGAACTTGACCCAGAAAGCCTGACAATTTATAGTAGTAGTACTAGTAGTAGAAAGATTTATTATGACATTTGGCTACATAAACAGAATAATTGTAAACAACTTAGAACTAGTAAATTCAAGCCATATGGTGTATGATGTAAATGCTG